TGTGTGTGTGTGTGTGTGTGTGTGTGTGTGTGTGTGTGTGTGTGTGTGAAAGAGAGAGAAGAAAGTGACAGAGAGACAAAGAGACAGAGAGAAAGACAGACAGACAGAGAGGAAAAGATGAAGATTACTGTTGGATGGTTTTAGAAGCCAAATGAGCTCTTTGCAAATTGTCAAGTGTACAGCAGATATTGGATTCAAGAATTCTCACACCTCATTTCATTATACTTCACATCAGTTCTTTTTTTTCTTTTTTGGCAAAAATTTTTTTTTAACACCAGTAAAAGGCAAAGGATAAATGCTGGAAAAATGCACTTTCATTTTTCAAATGTGTTTTTCCTCAGTTTGGAAATGTATTTTAAACTTTAGAGTTGGATAAAATAGAGAAAATGAGAGAAAAATCTCTAATTTTTTTTTTTTAATTTGGGAAACACTTTAAACCTTTGTCAACAGAAAAAGCCCGAGCACTCCAGCTTTTCAACTAAGAAGACAGTGAAACATAATTAAAGACACTTGAGCTTTGCAGAGTGAGCTATGCACGGTGCTGCATACCTACAATCCCAGTTCTGGGCAGGCTGAGGCAGGGGGATTTTGAGTGGAAGGCCATTCTGGACTACAGAGTGAAAGTTAGAATAATAAAATAAAACTAGGAATGACTAACCAAGTTAAGAGAAAAAGTCTTCTTTCTTAGAGAGGCTTTTCTGAGATTTTTGTTTGCTGTTATTGTTAGCAACAGGATGGAAAAATACATTTCAGATTTAAGTATTATTCTACGTGATACTGTACTTATAGATTTCTAATTTTAATTTTGTATTTTATATTTTCTGTTTTGGTTTTTTTTTGCTGTTGGTGTCTTGTTTGTTTGTTTGTTTGTTTGTTTGGTTGGTTGGTTGGTTGATTGGTTGGTTGGTTAGCTGGTTTGAGACAGGGTTTCTCTGTGTAGCCTTGGCTGTCCTGGAACTCACTCTGTAGATCAGGCTGGCCTCAAACTCAGTGATCCACTTGCTTCAGCCTCCAAAGTGCTAGAGTGCTGGGATTAAAAGTGTGCACCACCACCAACCTTCACAAAGGTTTTGTATCTGTTTTGCAAACACATGTCTAACTTTACTTTTGTCTTCTTTGGCAGATGACATTTGACCCCGAAATCTTCTTCAATGTTTTGCTGCCTCCCATTATATTTCATGCAGGATACAGTCTGAAGAAGGTAAGGCTAAGGGGCATCCTCCTCTTTTATTAGTAAATAGAAAAGTCTGCCCACAGTAATGAAAAGTAGTTCTATTTTATGGGATTTCTTATTTGGTAATAATAACACTCTGTAGATTATATGAGAAATGTTCAGCCCTGTCCATCTTGGAATTCTTTTAAATCTATTAAACCTATATCCAGGGCTTAGCAGCACATAGCTAATGAATGCTGTGGCTTGTCTAAAAGTGAGATACACTGTAAATGCAACATGTACACTAGATATTAAAGTCTTAGCATTTTAAAAAGAGAGTGTAAATCATCTCAATGATGTTTAATCTGATTTCATAAAGAAAGTATAGTATTGGCACTATATACTGTGTTAAACAAAACATTAACAAGCCCCACATTACCCTTCAATGTTTATTTCATGTGGCCTGCTCACAGGTCTGTAAATGACATATTGTGACCTGTGCAGCTTGACCATGGAAGAGTGTTATCCCAGATGAGCGTGCACCAAGAGCTCGCATACTCGCTCACACTGGGTTTAAGTCAGGAAGACTGGGTCCTTCACAAAGAGAGCCACGGTTTTCAGTCCCTGAGCTCTTCTTGCCTGACAGTGCAGGTGACTGTCCATGTCACAGGTCAATAATTTAGCTAGGTGGGTAGTGTTGTGCCACAGAGTGAGGCAGAGGGAACACGCTGCCCGTCGGCTGCTGGGCACCACCTCGGAGACTTCCGGGGCTCACCACTGCCTCCCATTGGCCTGCCGTATCCAGCAGCCAGGCAGCTTCTTCATTACAAACCTGAAAGGTTTTGTTTGGTTTTTTTTTTGTTTGTTTGTTTGTTTGTTTGTTTTCTTTCTGTTTTGTTTTGGAAACTCTAGGCTCCCTCTTGCTGTCAATGCTGGCTGCTCAGTTCTCACTAAAGACCCAGAAGGGAGTATTTCTAACTAAGAAGCATTTGGGAGGATTTAGAAGGTTCAACTCATGCAGGTCATCCTTCCGCATGCCCTGCCTCAGTACTGGGCATCATTTTATATTTCTCTCATAAAGCATTGTTCATAAAGCATTTAACGTTTGATTGCATCACATCCAGAAGATGTGTGAGCAAGAGAATTAAGAACATTCCGTGAAAATGTCAGATGCCATTTAAATCATTTAGGATAACATTTTAAAAGTTAACGGTGTTACGTCTACAAAACCCTTCTAACTGCTCTTTGCCCAGCCTGCTCCCTCTTCTGGGGTCTCGGTGCTTTGTGGGTAATCTTTCCCCTATCATCTCCTAGATTTTTTTTTTCTTCATTGCCTTTCTTTTCTCCTTATTCTCTGCGGAGAAATCACTTACCAGGCTTTATGCTCAGGTGCACCAAATTTCAGGGACGAGGCTCCAAGAAGAATTGCTTAACTAATGAGAGACGGGAAGGCTGTGAGCAGCTTGGCTCGTTCTTATTTCCCGTTTCAGTGAGAAGTGCAGATGTGCTTCATGAATTATTTTCTGTTTCTCCCCAGAGACACTTTTTTCAAAACTTGGGATCCATTTTAACGTATGCCTTCTTGGGAACAGCCATCTCCTGTGTGGTCATAGGGTAAGTGACATTCAGAACCCGAGCTCTAGGTGGCTGGAGGGCAGCCATCTGCGGTGGGATCTCAAACGTCTGGACTCCTGCTTCTCGGACCTTGTGTGTGTGTGGTTTCTAGTATGGGTTTGTTTTGCTTGATTTTTGTTTTAGCTGTTTTGTTGAGTTACCCTGCTGGGGATCTAACAAGTTAGGCAAGCTTTTTGTCTGAGTGCCATCCCCACACACATCCTTATAAATTCTTCTATCCCCGGTCCAACATTTCTTCATCTTCTGACAAACAGAAGGCTTCAAGGCAAAGCAAACTGTCCCTGGGTGGCAAGTTTTTCTCTGTGAGTTTGAGCTTCTGATGTAGGGTGTGTGGACCACTCGGCCTGAGTTATACAAAGCGGATCACATTCTCATTTAGCTTGGATAATGTATATGGCCTCAGTGCATTTTCCCCATCATCTCTATAGGGCGTTTCCAACATTCGACAGAACTGCAGTAGTAACTACAAGCCGAGGGTTTTCTCCTAGAGGAAAATTTGTCCAGTGTGGCGTTTGAAACAGCCTCAAGTGTCAGCAGATCGTATACGGCTGGAGTGGCTTTGTGGTCGGTGAACTGTAGAGTGCGAGCTTTTTCTTTTTCTTTCTCAATATGTTTGTTCATTATGCTGCTGGTTCAAAGACTAGCGGCAGAGACTCTGTCACAAATAAGGTCCAGCACGGTAAAACTTGTCCAATCTCCTGTGGTGTGACAGCGCCACTGCAGAGCAAAGTCCAGCTGCTATGGCTGCCACGATGCATCTGCCTTAAACTGCGTGACACAGCCAACTCTACCTGTGATATATATATTTTTTTTACTGCCTGCAGCTATCATCACGCCAGCCAAGAAAGTGACGCTGAGCGTGCACACCAGCCATGCCTCCAGGCCTTCTCTTCTGCAGTGTTCACTGTGTACCAGCCAAAGCTGAGGAGGTGTCAGGGCTCCGTGCAAGCCTGAAAGCAGGGAGAGTCTGTGTTGAACACTTCTGTAGTGGAGGTTAGAACTAACTGAGCTGTAGTCTGTGAAAATGTATCGCATGCATAAGGTGGGGAAGCAGCGAAAGATTTTAGCACCTGCAAGGCTTGAGTGAATGGAAATTCATCACATCAAGTAGACATTAATCTGTCTGTGACCTGACAGACAGCATGCCTGGTCCTTCACAAAGCTGTCTGGGGAGGCCTTCATGACCTCTGTGTGTGTGTGTGTGTGTGTGTGTGTGTGTGTGTGTGTGTGTGTGTGCTCAATATGCAATTTTGAACCTGGCAAGGACCTGAAAAATCTGTGTCGTTAAACCTGCTCCTACTGACGAGGCGGCATCTTGAAATGTTAACAGATTAGGCCAGCGCTATCATCAGTGAGAAGCAGGGCCAAGGTCGACAGAGAATCAAGACAGAACTCAAAAGCTTAGCTTCTGACCCAGCAGATCATGTTTTCCGAGTCCCTAGGCCCCTCTGCACCTTGCCACACTTGCAGAAGGTTCTGAGATACATGACTTCTTGACAGGTATTTGTTGGTTCATAGCAAGCACCAAGTTTAGCAGTTTCGGACTATGAAGATCTGAATTTTATAATGAATAAAATTTCTAGACAACTCGACAAAACTTAATTGTAGTATGATTAGTTTTCATTAATATGTTCTTTATCTTCGTTAATATGTTGTTTATTATAAGTATACTTATATTTCTATCATATGCTTTTATTTAAAAAAATCTTTATTCTCTCTTAGATCTGAAATATTTGATAAAAAGTAAAAGAAGCCATACATGATGTATATGAAACAGCCTTTTACAGAATATTTTGATTTAAGAGATATGGTGATTTTTCACTTATTGGAATTAAAGAATTTATTCCTTAGAGGGGGAGGGTAACTATAAAACGCAGAGTACCCACAGTTAGCCTGGAATCTGCTATATAGAAATCTCAGACTCAAACTTGTCATAATCCTCCTGCCTCTGCCTTCCAAGAGCAGAGATTAGAGGGATGTATCACTGAACTTGGCTTCTTTTAATTGATGCTATATGAACATCAAGACATTTAAATAGTGAATTAAGGAAAAGTGCAGCTCTGAGATAATCTTCAGAACTGTGTTCTTTGTGTAAACTGTATATAGTAGGAGCCATAAAATCTTGCATGTGGCTTTCTTTTAAATTTATCTTTTTTAATTTTATACGCAAGTGCTGTTTTTATCATTTGTATCTCCCTCCCGTCCAAGTCCTCCTACGTCCCTCTGTCTCCCTCTAAAGTTCATGGCCTCTTCTTCTCTCATTATTGTTTACTATGTGTGCCTATAAATATATGGATACAGCCTGCTGAGTCTGTCTAGTGTTACTCATACATATGTGTGCTTAGGACTGATCACTGGTGACTGGATAACCCAGCAGGGGCTTGTCCGTGGAAAAGACTGAATCTCTGCCTCACAACAGGCATTAATTGCATGTAGCTCTTCACCTAAAGGTGAAGCCTGTGAGACTTCCTCTATTCGTGCTGGCATGTTATCTGGTGTTGTCATTGCGAAGGGCTTATTTAAGTGACCATATTTTTGAGATTTCATGGGTGTGGCTTCTCATCATAAGACACAGAAAATATCGGCTCCTGCAATATTTGTACCCCCTGTTCTACAAGCTTCCCTGAGCTTCAAGTGCGAAATTGTGTTGTAGATTTATTTGTTGGGCCTGCATACCTCACAATGAGTTGTTCTCTGCATTTTGACCAGTTGTAGATTTCTCTAATGGTTTCCATCTACTATAACAATGAAGCTCCTTTGAAGAAGAATGAATGCTACACATATTTGCAGGTGTAAGGATAGGTGTTTAGAACGCAGTTAGAAGTCATGCTGATTTAGGAAAGTGGCCTAGGAAAGAGGAATAAATTCTCCTTTAAGGAGCACAGCATCAGCAGCCATGACTACTCAGCTAGGTTTACAGAACCAGAGATTATTTCCCCCCTATGGAGTGTGTCTTAAGTCCAACAAGAAAACTCTTGGTTTCTCCAAGATCTAAGTGCCACTATTGAACCTGGGAATATCTTTCCATCTAGATCATGGTTGTGGGTCAAGGTTTTATAGATATTTGAGACTATTGATTACTTTTCTCCCATGGTATCTTGCATAGCACCTCTAGTACTATGAGAGATAGCCCTTAGGAAGAAGGCTTCCACACGAGATGCAGCAGAACCATCCAAGTCCTGTGTCTGAAGTGTGTGGCGTATTCAGCAATAGGGACTTACCTTCGATTCTGGGAGGCAACAATAGTGTAATGCCTGTATTTTTGTGGGGTATCTCTTACAGCGTATTGCCTGTATTGGTTGTGGAGTGTGTCTTGGACTCCCTTGGCCAATAACTCAGAAGGAAGTTCCTCCAGCGGAACTGTGATTTGTTGTTGTTGTTAGGTAGCCTATGAGCCTTGGTGGAAAACGTTATCACCCCAGTTCTGTATAACTTCATTTAAACTGTGTGTGTTTACTTATACACATACACTTGTATACACATTGTCCTAAGTACTTACTAGTATCTCTAAGATGGTTTTTAAAATTACATTTTGTTTCTTTAGTGTGTGTGTGTTTGTGTGCAGACTCCCTATATGATACACGTGTGGACCTCAGAAGATAACATGTGCTTATCCATTATCCACGTGACTTTGAGGGATTGAACTGAAGCTGTTAGCTTGACAGCAAACATCTTTTCACTGAGCCATCTTGCTGGCCCAAGATGCTTTTATAAGAGTAATGAGACCGATATTCTTCTAGTTTCTCTGTTAATGGAGATTTCAAACCAACTTCACAAGTCCAGAAATATGTGGAGAAAGAATATCTACCCTTTTGAATTTTTTTTTTCTCTCATGCTGGATGCCAACATAAACTCTTCATATTTGTTCTCTCATGTCATTGAAATGATGATCTCATGAGATAACCCCTGTTGTTCCTCACATTTCTTTGCAGTGTTGCCAAGTCTGAGACTTGCTCAAAGCTACACAGCAGTTAAATAGTAGTAAATGTTAGAGCCCGCCAGAGCCTAGAGTGCACACCCTCCATGGCCCCTCATCCTCCTACTATGACCTGTTACAGTCCCGGTGTTTCTCACGGAATCACTGTACCTGCCTGATAAACTAGACCTTCAGTGAGTTCAACCTCTTACATTTATCATCATAGCTAGTGACTATGAAAAATCAGGGTATTTAAGAATTAGCTGGAAATATGATTGCACAGAGGAAATCAAACTCACCTTCTCTCATGGAGCCAGCTAGAAGGTAGACGGGAGATGCTTTACTTCTTTAATGTTGCTGGGCTTCTTGATAATTTACCCAGGAAAACCTGTATTTATAAATATGAGATTGTTTACATTATTCATTCCAGCATTCCTTGGGACTGATTTCCCCATAGGAATCCTTAATATACACAGAATATTAAGATGCTTGGCAGCCCTGTCTATGAGGCACAAGCCTGAAGTGGGCTTCATGGGTGCTTGTGGCTGCCCTCTGAGTGGACAAGTCTGCACATCTGGGGACCTTCACATCTAGTGATATGGTGAGTCCCAGCAGCCACCCAAATACTGACTCCTTAGCTCTAAAGAGGAGCACATTGGACATTTAAAGGCAAATGTGATTGGCAGCTCAGAGGTAGAAGCTGAATAAATCTCTTTAAGCTCTAACCCCAGCAAGAGAACAAATTCGAGATGAGCCCTCCACTGGGGAACAGGGACCCTGAGGTCATGTGGGAAGACTTCAGGGAGGAATGAAGCTCTTTAAGTTAGTCGTGAATTTTTATAGGCGAGAGCCTGCACAGATTTTGCCATTTCATCAGACCCTCTGGGGAGCTACAATCTGTAAGAGAGAAAGAAAAAAAGAGCCTCGAGTTTCCTAAAAGCTTGGGCAAAAACATAGCTTTGACAGTGAGGGTTTTATGTATCTCTCTATTCAGTTAGGACTGAAGGCTTATTTAGAATGTAGTGAGAGTGGCTATAAAGGCCAGAAATACATCTAATATCAC